CATATTTTTTTTTCAAAATTAAAAAGTTGCATTTCCCTCGCATTTTCTCGTCAAAACTAAGATATTTTGTTTTCGCATCAAAATCAAATATTTCTTTCTCACCAAAACCAAAAATTCACATTTTTCGCCAAACCCGATAATTTGCTTTTTTCTGCCATAACCGAGAAATTATGTTTTTTTACCAAAACTGAAAATCAAATTTTTCCTACCGAATCCAAGAAATTCTGTATTCCCACCAAACCCAAGAAAATTTGTTCTCGGTAGCCACCGGAAATGCGAATCTTCAAGCTGTGGTGGTCTGAGCTTCTCCTCATTTGCTTTCGACTTCCATTTTTTTTGTAAACTTTGGGCTTTTTAGTGGGTCAGCAAAATAGTAAACTGATTTTATTAGTGTGTTAATGATATGTATTATTGTTATGTTTTTATTGGTTCAAATTTTTGCTGATGTGTGAGCTTCTTATAACATAATGCTTTTTGCGTTGTTGTTATGGAAGTATAGTTGATGATGAGTCTACACTTTCTTCAATCATGTCTCTATCAAGCAAACACATAGTTAGAAATTTTAATTTTTTTTGCTGTTATTATTTGAGTTTTTATTTGGCAAAAATATAAAACAAAGATTTAATTTTTTAATTTATTGTTCTTTATTATTTGGATTTGGGGATGGTAAAAAATAAAACAATTTTTTTTATTTGCTGTTATTTATTATTCGGGTTTGGGTTTGAAAAAAAATAAAATAAAGATTAACAAAGAAAAATATTTGGGTTTTTAATGGGTTTAAGTTAAAAATAATAAAAGTTAGTAGATGATGTGTATTAATAAAATGTTTTGATTAGTGTTTTTTTTTTCCGAGGTGTCAACTTTAGAAAGTTTGAAAAAGCTGATGTGTCATCTCTGGAGAGACACTTGTGTTATTGTTGTATTGATTTTACAGATTTAAAATATTTAAAATATCAAAATCTAATCATAAAAATTTGGAGTTCTGATAGTAATATTATTTTTTGTTTCAAAATTTGCAACATTATAACACTTTTATAATTCATTTGATGAAATCGAATTCATAATATCTGTAGTGTATAAATATTTAAAATCGTTTTATTCCAATCTGTGCCTTTCAATTCAGTGTGACAGCACCATTCATCATATACAACTTAAGACCATATAACGAAAGTGCAGTACAAATATATTGTGAATAAAAACGTGTAGACTGTGTAGTACGAAATGTACAATCTCTTGGGATTTGGGAAAGATTGTTAACCAGTTATTCGTTTTTGCGTTTTTTTTTTGCACGATCGATTCTGGTCCCTATATAATGGTCAGTTTTGTATTCAATAATATCCCTTTTCAGAAATATGACTTTTTTTTTTTTAACTATGAAAATGTGAACTTAATGACCGAGGTATACGGGTAGTACCATTATCGTGTCATAATTTGGACTCAAATCCACCATTGACACGTGTAAATAACAAACGAAAAAATGAACTATAAGTTAAATAATTTATTTTTGTTGCGACCATGCACCATGCATATTATTGGAATAAAACAAATCATACTAAATGTAAACTTTATTAAAAGACATGTACGTATCAAGTTCAATGTAAGATACCAAAGCACCGTTTAGACTCAAGGTCCCCATGTATGATGATGTACCTTGAGAGAGACAGAAACAAAATGCAGCAAATAGGACAAAGAAACAAAATGCAGCCATCATAATTATACTCGCACGATATGTATAAATAATTTGTTAGCGTTTGTGAGTGTGAGTGTGAGTGTGAGTGTGAGTGCGAGTGTGAGAGCGAGTGCAACAGAATTACAAGAATTAATTATACTGACAGGGATATTTCTGAAAAATAATTCATATAATGTTTCGAGTCTTTGACATACAAATTGTATCGTAATTATTATTTCTTTATATTTGATATAATTTTTAATACAATGGTAAATCCAAACAGAGACGAACTAATTTCCGGATAAATATAGTTGTGGAATAATCTTTTTAGTTTTTTTGGAATTGTTCCTTTACTATATAGTGTATGTATATGTACAATACTGTTTTGTCGTTTTATAGAGTTGACGTTGCCGCACAAATTCTAGTTTCTACCATTGTAAAGATTTTCATTTTAACCAACAAGTATCATCTTTGTTTATTTAAAGAACATATCCTTAAATTTTTAATGGATTGCATCTTTAGCTACACCAGCAACATACAATCTTGAAGTAACAATAAGAGGAAGAGCCATTGTTTTCTTTCAAAAAGAAAAGAAAAACAATAGCTATTGTTTTTTTCTCGCTACATTAATGTTTATAAACTGAGTGTTATGAAAGTGTCATTTTATTTCTTTTAATTATGTGGCAAGTGGGTGTTTTCTTTGTTTTTTTGCTTTTTGGTTTGTTTTGCCTTATAGTTTGAGTTTTAGCCCCCATCATGTTGGGTCTTTTAGGTGGGGATATTGGATTTAGAATTTGGATTGAATTGAAAGGAATTGAAGTTTCCATTAAATATTAGTGTTATTCAATGATATATTTTATCAATTCTTTTAAATACTTGTGTTATTGTATTAAGTGTTTTCATTCATTCTTTCAAAATCCTTTAAATATCATTGTTATTTAATATACTAATTTTTCAATTCTATTAAATATCTGTGTTATTCAATTTTAGAATAGCTTTGATTGTATTATCATTTGGAAGGAATTTAATGGAATCTCATCTAAAAATTGTTAAGAATCAATTCCTACCATTTTTACTAGGATTTTGATAGAATTAGTTTAAATTCCTATAAAATACTTTAAATTACTTAAAAATTATTTATATTTCAATTCTTGTACATTCTATCAAACTTAATACCACCCCCTTAGTTTCTTCTTAACATCGACACTTTTATCATTTTCCCTTCTCTTATTTATTTATTATTGATCTCTTGTCTTTTCTTCATCTCATGATAGTGAATATTGCTACATTTGGATTTTCTGATACAATCAATGGATGCAATGTTTATTCCAAGTGCTTCTTACAAGACTAATCAACCCACTCGGTAGTTTAATAATTATATAGAAAAATGCTTGTTGAATATATTAACATAAAATTTTTAAAATTAGGAATATGGTGAGATATATGTTTTAATTTACAAAAACATTTTGAACCAATTCAATGACATATTTTTAAACCAATTATATTTACATATATTTTTAGAAATATATATATATACATTTATTTACAATTATTTATTTGTTTTACATTATTCGACCACCCCAGCATCATACCAAACAAGAATGTGATAAAGGTGTTATCATTGGGTCCAACCACAATTGACCAATGTACTCATCCGCAAGTTTATTGACAATCGAACTGTGTGTAATTTTACTGAAACATACATTCATATATATCGTTATAACCATATTTTTATTTTCTAGAAATGTTAAATTTATTAATCAACAAACACAAATTTACGTAAAAGATATAAACAAATCAAAATGGGAAAAGCCAGAAAATATGCCAATCATCGTATGTCTGATTTAAAATTGTACATTCCCCATAGAGTTATTCAAAGCTAGAAATGGATTCAATAGTATGTTTTGTTGAATTATTCGAGAGTGATTAGATAACTGATTTAAAATAAAGTAGGACTTACCAATCATCATATGTCTTATGTCTAGATAAACAAATTATGTCTAATGTGGTTTATGAACATACACATCGTACCTAATTATCGCTCGAAGCCAACAAAGTAATAAGAATACAGTTCTAATCGCTCTAGGATTATCACGGCCATCTAAATGTCATAGAATCAATAGTTAATTATAAATTGATTCTTTAATAAGGTCTATTAAGTCAACTAGTTAGCTAACTTATGTCGGATTCAGATCCGAATATAGTGAGAAGAAATCCATTAAGCTATATAAAACCGTTACATCAACACTAAAAAAATTGTGTTCAAACTGGATATAAAATGAAGCAAAAGGTTGAAAAGTTTTGTATAAGGAGGTAAATTTTAATAATTTAGGCTGTATTATAACTATGATGTGATTAAATATCGGTAAAATATGTTTTAGTTCACTGGCCTTATATTTGTGCCATCATCAATCTTTGGTTATATATGCAACATAATTTTTAAAGGAGATTAAGACTGATGGATCTAACTAGAGGGAGAGTTCTAACATTGGATTATAATCTGAGGGTGAAACTGATAATTAACAACATGACCCATTTGGAGTATACTGTGTTTGTCTCTTTCATATAATTGATGAATATCGACAAAAACCATATATGGCCAATTAGCCTCCAGCCTCTATCTTCATGCTAACACTAAAACGATCTGATTTGTCTCTCCCATTTGAATCTGAACCACAAGAAAAAGTTACATCCATGGTTAAACTTTTGAATGGTTGCAGCAAAACAAATTATACAAACCACACATTATGAATGTAATTAGTACGAAATATATAGAACATACAAAAAAAAGTAAAAAGACACAACGATAGTAAAATCGAATGATAACTTTTCAATAGTATTATAAGAAAATTTTTCTTTAAATGAATGAAAGTGAAACCAAACTATTTCTATGTTCTTCTTTTAACTTTTTGTTTGCTCTACATAATGTGATTGCATCACTCACAACATAAATACATAATCATCATTCATAGCCTTAAAATCTTGTAGCAAAATGTACACATGTCCTGTCAACAATGCAAGAGGAGAGAATCTTTATTGCATTTCAAAGGGAATGCATTTACGCAAATGAAGGACGTTGGGTTTGCACTTACGTAAGTGTAGATTGATGGGTTTTATGATTCCTTATGTGAAGTTGAAGAAAGAAGGTTGTAAAGCAAACAACAACAACAGTGTGGACCACATTCCCCAACTTGACCGGTCTGGACCACAAATATGTCACGTGGTCCCGGTTTATCTTTCTACCGAAAACGGCAGCTTCATGACGAATCGAAGAATCCCCATGTGTCACCACACGGTCACGTGACAAAGACGAATCACTCTAGAGAGGACGTAATCGAACAGAGAAGTACAACCCAAACCAAAGTTTATCCGGTTTAAGAGCTGAATCATGAATTAGAGAAAATCGGATTTCAGACAGTTTCAATTGAGAAAAACCAAGAGAACCATACAGCTTAGTGACATAAACCGACCATTTTGTTTAGAGATGGAACTATGCCTTTCAAGCATACAAAACAAAAGCAGTTATAAAAAGGAACATGTTTTTAAAAGGTGCAACTAAAAACAAGCTGGTGAAGATGCAAAACTGGTTTCGTTTTTGGGCAGAGAGACCGGAACAACACGAGCATCAGTTTATCTTTGCGTTTGAGAAGTCCATCTCCGGATGCTGCGTGTAACGCAAAAACCCTTTCAATATCATATAAAACAATGTAATTAATACAGAGATGTCTTAGGAGGATGTGATGTTTACCTGAGACATGAATTTCTTGAGAATGTCTTGCTTCTGTAGCTCGTCGCTTGTTGGAAGACCCATCTGCTTTTGTCTTTGATCAAACTATAGATACGAAGAACAAAAAGAAAACACTTCAATGTCACAAAAGGAAATAAACAAAAGCTTATTCGAAGAAACTCGGAAAAAAGACAAGTACCATCATTTTCTCAACAGTGGAGCGAGTTTCTGGGTCAAGGTCAGTTAATTTACTGTTCTCTGGTTCGACTTTCTGTGTATCTATCTCAGGTTCACCTTTCACACAGCATTTCCACCATTCCATCTGATCTTGCTTAGTCAACAGAATCGAAATCACCTTTTGATCCTCTGCAAAGTTACCAAAGAATAAGCACTCTTGTTCACCAACCAACCAAGTTAAACCTCTTGTGAACTGTATCATACGGATTAAGGCATATACCGATATTCCAGTAACAGTCATCAGGCTTCACAGATCGGTAAAGCTCACCCTGTAATTTATTGAAAGTTTGCAAATTTTAGCAGAAGATGATTTAGGATGATATTGCAATATAATTTATGATAAACAATAGCAGATGAGACTTACATCGATGATTGGATCCTGGCCTTTGAGACCAATCTTGAGACGGTTCTTCTTAATCTCACATACAACAGACCGTGCTTTAGTGCCACTAGGCACTGGGATGTTAACTGTGACCTCCTGGAGAGTCTGGACCCATGAGTAGTTCTCAAGATCAGTTCCATTACCTTTATTAGGAACTGCAGAGAAACAGATACAAAGTTAACTCCAGAGAACAACGATGCTCACAAAAAGGTTAAGTAGTCAACAGGAGAGGAGCAAAACTTATTATCAAGAATAAACTTATACAAATGTTTTTCTTTCACAAGGGAGACATCAAGTTCTAGAACTCAAAATGTTCCTACAAATGATGCTTAATACCTCAGAAGAACATGTAACGAGTGAACAGTATCTTGAATCCTTGATTCAAAGTCTGAAAACTCCACTATAACACATGATCAAGACCAACAGCTCAAAAGATCTCTCCTTTACTATAAGGTAAATCAGCCAGTATGAGTTCTAAATTCGCACTTTATTCATCAATATCAACCAAAGTTCCAATCCTAAAAGCCTATACCAAATTTGCTACTTTCCAGATTCAGTTTCATCAAATTTAGATAAAAGAAAACGATTTGACATTTACCAATGGGACCGGTTTCTTGTTTCTTCTCCTCCTTAGGCTTCTCCTCCACTTCCTTTGGCTCTGAGCTTGAAGCAGCCATAGTCGGCTTCACAGTCTCCTTCTCCGGCTTCTTCTCCACAGGCTTCACACTCTCCTTCTCAGCTTTCTTCTCCGCTTTCCTCAACTTCTCCTTCACCGCCCTAACCGCGGCGGCGATCTCCTGCTCCGCGGATGGTTTCTTGAGAAAATCGCTCTGTTCTCCAAGAAAGTTAAACACTTTCTCCAAAAACCCTAATGGGTTCGAAGAATCGAATGTCGCCCTGAACGGCAACATCGAGGGTCGGCTGCTGCTTTCCTCTTCAACCTCAGAGATAATCGCCATGGTGGTTTTGCTCTACTTGTTTGAAAACAAGGTTTGTGAGAAAAAGAAGGGGAAAAATGGTAGACCCGAAAGTTTCGATTTTTAAAGATGAATCTCTTCGATTTTGATCGGAGAAGAAAATTCCCCAAATCGAGAGAGTTCGAGAAGTACTTCACAGTTCAAGTTCATTTTGGTCCATAATACAGAAATGAAAGATATAAGTTTATTGGGCCTTTATTGGGCTCTTCTGGTTTGGTCGCTGTAAAGATATTTTGGTCCATCCTAACCTTAAGCACCCCATTCTTTTTGATGATGGGCTAGTAGATTATTATTACAAAATAAATTATGGTAGCTATATTTGTACTAATGTGTACTTTTAAAAAGTGTCAAGAAATGATTATTTTGTGAAAAAATTTGATAAATTAGAATTGTACATATAAAATCCAAAATTGTGCTATCGTACACGATTTTTTTAGTTAAAAATTTAATCAGTCTCCTAGTGGTTTACTCCCTCCATTCCACAATCTAAGATTTTTGGATTTTTTTTTCTGTTTCAAAAGATTGATTTTTTAGATTAATAAAGTCTCACTTTCCAATAACAAAAGATAAAAGTTTATTGGAAATATAAAAAGTCAAAACTAATTTGAGTTATCTGATAATATTTTTAAAAAGTATTAAATTTAAGGATTAAATTAAAACAAAAAATATTGTAAAAAGGTAAGTAACGATGTTTCTTAATATATGTGAAAACTCCCAAAAAATTTAAAATTGTGGAATGGAGGAAGTATTACTCTAGACTCTAATTCTGTAAGCGTAAATTGTTGATATGAGAACTTGATTAAAAGAAACAAACAATTCAAAAGGCAATCGTTAAAATATAGAGGTAAACTATAAACAAACGAGAAAAAACAAAAAAAGCGAGGACAAGAGGCCCCCACCAAGACTGTATACAAAGTGGAATTGATATTAAATGCTTAGAATAAGTATGCAACCACCAAATCAATCTTTTGTAGTTTGTACGAATTGCACAGTGGCCAAAGATGATATATAATGGCAATGAAAGCCATAAATTACATACTGATTTTCAATCCAACGGAGATTCTTTACCTTGAGAACTGATACTGTAATTGGTTACGTAACCAGTCTTGTTTGAGCCGTGAAGATGAAAAAGTGGATATGATTGCTCCCTAATGAGGTTCAATTATCATAAATAAATGTTATGAACAGAAGATTTCACACATTTTTAAGATGAAAACAAAAATGAGTTAGTATAACCTATTTATAATATTATATCACTAAAATGGTAAACAGTAAAATGGTTAATCCCCAACCGTAGTGGTTGGTCGTTACCAATAACTTATTCATTGAAAGATAAAGAGGCAAATTAAATGTTTGAAACTTCCAATTGATAAAAAGTCGTAACTAACAAAAGAGGTAAGAAAAAGTGCACACCATGCATTAATTAACTGAAAGGAGTTGTCTGAAATTTCAAATTAAATGTGTAGTTGCAGACGGTAAATCGTTTTAATTTAAAATAAATTAAGATTTTAAATTTTTAACTAACCAAAGAAGAAGAAGAAATTGGTTTGTCAGTTTATGCAGACATCTACGATTAATAATAAGTCGTACGATATTTACATTGATTGACATCAACTGTTCAACTTCACTTTTCGTATTTTTGTAACATAATGAGAGGCTTGTATTTGAATGAATGACCAAGACGACGGTCAGAGCAACTTCTATGTTTGGAAAAATAACAATTTTTAAGAGTATACGTAAAAAGGAAACATTAAATGAACAAGAATTATTGAATATCAATGTTTAAAATAATTTTGTTCTGTGAGAAATCAGTTGTGGATATCTCTGGTCGATATGGTTGGCTCAAATAAATTTAACAGTACCTACCTATGTAGTCGTGGCATTGGAGAGATCAATGATTATTACGTCTATGGTTTTGAAATGGTGAAGAATAATAAATTTAAAGGACATAAACCAAAAAGAAATATTTAAGGCAACCATTGACATCTCTTGAAAGAATAAGATACTTTTTTTGTTGTTGCTAAAGATGATACTTAATTGATGAATAAAACCTTCATTTGTGATCATAACTTTATAAATTCATACCGCGGCTGCAAGAACTTTCAAAGTGATTGATTTTTTTTTGTGTGTGTGTGTTTTAACGTTTTGTTTCTGTTCTAAAAAAATTCCTTTTGAATATTTTTTCACCCACGAGGCAAAAGTATTACTAGTAAATTGATCTTTTAACAATTGCAACATAGTTTAAGGTTTGAAACAGGATTTCTATCTTCGTTACAAAAAAAAAAAAAAAAGGGTTTGACGTCAGCGAGGGCATATAACCACTTAAACCACAATGCATGGGAGAATGACTCTAACCGTATGGTCCGTATCACTATTACATGTACGGTATATTCTTTACCTTTTTTTAATCGTTTTACATTCTGCTTAAGTATCATTTGGTCAAAATTTTCTGCATAATCTGTAACTTTTCTACTAGGTGTTTTCCTTCTCAGGCCAATTCATTTATTAAGACGTAATGATATACTCCCTCCATTTTTTTAAATTTGATGTTTTACATATTCATACATATTAAGACACACTTTAACATATTAAGACACACTTTAATAATTATTTGTTATTTTACTTTTTAGCTATTTTTTTAATTTTTTAATAATATATTAATACTACTTCTCTCTTTTTTATTGATTAATAGGTTTTTAAAAAACTAAATACATTATTTAAAACCTAAAACATCAATCTTTTAAAAACAAAGAAAAAAACTAAAACATCAAAAAAATGGAGGAAGTAGCATTTAGAACTAATAATCTTAGGAGACAAGTGTAATTCAGATCTCTTTTTTGATTCAGTTGGCACCATGGTTCTTGACCAATGAATTCTGAAATCCTTTTAGATTAAGCAGAAATTGTCAGGGACACAAGAAAAGAGAAAGACGTGTAGCATAATTAAATTCTGATAGTGAATGAAGTTAGTAATAGTATAGTAGGTAGCGTATTCATTATAATTCTCGTATTCCTAGCATTTTGATATTAATCTGCTGATTTGACAACTTCAGTATTTGCATAACAATAACGAGTTTTGAGGTTTTTTTTTTATAAAAAAATTTGTTGTCTAACAGAAATTATTCTTCAGTGATTCAAACAGGTTATATGTGCATAGTAAAATAATGATACAATATTATGTCCACCTGATGATGTCATTAAAAAAACATAAAATATACGTACATGAATAGCATCCACATGATGCAGTAGCTAGCTTGCTAGGTTAACCACAGGGACCTTGAGTCCACAACTAAAATCGTGTAACTCATTTATATATAGAGAGGGTAGAGTATAAAAGTGACTGCGAGTGAATAAGAAAAAAAACCCACAAAACTTGGAAAGAGCCACAAATAGGTCAAAGAATGGAGGAAGAGAAGAAGACGGCTAGAGAGACGGTGGAGGAGGAGCCGCTCAGCCCATGTTCACGGCTGTTCAATTCGCCGGATTTTAATTGTGCGATAATCGTCACAATGGGGTGCAAAGTCAAAGGAAACCCATCTGCTATCATCGAGGGCCTTAAACACACCCTCGCTAACCACCCTCGCTTCTCAAGCATTTTAGTAAGTCAAAACACACATACATGTATACTATTTATATAAACGGCATTACATTTCATTATTGTTAAAAAAAAAGGTTTTCACTATAGTGTATATATGAACACACACATACTACACACACAAAACAGTAAAAAATGAAAAGGGAGTTATAGAAGAAAATGATATAAAATCATTAGATTTATACATCGCCAATTGGTTCATAAAATTTCAGCAGTAAATGCATTTTCTTGTGCCTTGTCTGTTTCATCAAAAACAAAGCATGCTCTTAAGAGTCATTAGCTATTGTAATCAGACCGAAAAAGACAAACAAGCTTATTTATTTTAATATTTAGCAATATAGTAAATATTTAACTAAAAAAGGAAAATCATATAACATGCTTGTAACCAGACCGAAAATAGTCAAACAAGCTTCTATTAATTTACTTTGCAATATATATTAATCATTTAACCAAATAATTAGGAAAATGATATAAAATTATGGGTTTAATTATTTATGATGTTTTTTTTTTTTTTGTAACGATCGATGAATCCAGGAGATGAACAAGGGGAAGAAAGGGAAACCGAGTTGGGTTCGGACAAAAGTTAAAGTAGAAGAGCATGTGATTGTTCCGGAAATAGACCCGGACATTAAAAATCCTGATCAGTTTCTTGAGGACTACATCTCCAAATTAACGACTGTTCCTATGGATTTGTCTAAACCATTATGGGAAATTCACATACTCTGCTTCAAAACATCAAACGCTGAATCCACTGGCGTTCTCAAGGTCCATCATTCTTTGGGTGATGGAATGTCTCTCATGTCTCTTTTCCTTGCTTGCACCCGCAAAACATCAGACCCTGAGGCTTTGCCTACCGTCGCGGTTCAGAAGAAACAGTTTGGACCGAGTTGCTACAGCGGTTTTTTCAACAAGATTTGGTGGTTATTTGTAGGGCTTTGGTTCATCCTAAGATTGGTCTTCAACACTTTTGTTGATGTCTTAATGTTTGCTCTAACAATTTGTTTCTTGAGGGATACGGAGACTCCTCTCTTGGCCAAACCCGGTAGTGAACTTAAACCTAAGAGGTTCGTCCACCGGATTGTCAGCTTCGACGATGTTAAGCTGGTGAAGAACGCAATGAATATGGTAAATATTTTTTATTTTTATTTTTTTCCCACTTTGAAGTATCTCGTGAATCATGTATAATCGCTGATATGTTTAGCTTTTTGTTTTTAATCTGTTTCGTTAAGACTGTAAACGATGTTCTTCTTGGAGTAACACAAGCCGGACTTTCGCGGTATCTTAGTCGAAGATATGGTAAAAGTTTTTTTTTACATTATAGTGTTATGCATAGTAATTTAGTGTTCACACTCATCTAAAGAAGCTTGTCACATGTTGTATAATAGATCACGATGGAACACCGAAATCAAAAGAGTCGATGCGGAGAATCCGACTTCGTTCAGCCATAATGATTAACTTGAGACCAAACACAGGAATTGAGGTTACAAAATGTTCAATCTTGGAATCTTTGAAAGCCAAATAATAATATGAAAAAGAAATTGTGAGGTTTTCATTATTGTTTAATGATTCAATATGTGTATATAGGCTTTAGCGGATATGATGGCCAAGAAATCGAAATGCAGATGGGGAAATCTTTTCGGTTACATTCTCTTACCATTCTCGGTTGGGCTAGAGACTGATCCTTTAGAATATGTGCGCCGAGCTAAAGTCACGGTCGACCGCAAAAAACACTCCCTTGAGGCTGTATTCTCTATGGCCTTCTTTAAATTGATACTAAAAGTTCTTGGGCTTAAGGTGAAATCTAACTTCCTTATATATATAACCATGCATATGTTTTTTTTTTTGAACATTTGGTTTATAGCCATGCATATGTTTTGTTATGTTGTCTAATAGAACCAAATTGAATTTACAGGCAAGTGTAGTACTCGTAAGGAAAGTGATCCATAGCACAACATTGACATTCTCTAATGTAGTCGGTCCAAAGGAAGAAATAACCTTTCATGGACATCCCTTGTCTTATATCGCCCCTAGTGTTTTTGGCCACCCACATGTAAGTGTGTGCCTATAAATAGAAACTCCTTTTGCATATCTTGTTTTCTAATTATGGTGTTTGTATGTGTACGTGAAGGCTCTTACTCTACATTTCCAGAGCTATGAGAACAAGGTCATAATATCGGTAACGGCCGATCCAACAGTCATTCCTGACCCTCACAAGATGTGTGATGATTTGGTGGAGTCTCTCAAGTTAATTAAATCCGCTGTCCTAGAAAGAGGGTTATATGAAATGGTGGAGGTCTAATCAAAGCAGTTTCGACTGTGGGCACACAATATGGATTTGTCCGTTTCTTCTATGTACTACGGCTCCTCCATTGTTACTCTTAATAAATACGTTACGAAGCTATAACAACTATATAAATATTTGTAAGACATCAAGTTTATTACTATATATTAAGGAGATTGTCGACTTCGGTTAAAAAAATAGATTTTATTTTCTTTTAATTTACTTGAGAGGTTATCAATTAATTAGTAGATGCTAACCCACATCCAGTCCTATGTTTAAAAGATATATATACTTTCACCTCATTCAGAATAATGAGTTGAGATGTGAATATAATTTAAAATATATGATATTGAAGGCTTGTAAAGAAGAGCATTTATACACCAAATAAAGATTTAATTACATATTATTCACCCGTACGGATACTTGTTTGTTAATTAGTAACCCTCTTTCTAAAAGAGCAGCTTTCATAGATTTCAAAGACTCCTCCATTTCATCACATAGCTTGTGAGGATCTGATATTATTGTTGGGTCAACCGCTATCGAGATTACCATCTTCTCCGCATAACTTTGGAAATGGATCATCAATGCCTATTAAACACAAACATGCATATATAATTAAGAAGAAAAAAAAGTTAGAATAAATTCATTATTATTGGGTACAAGTTGATCTTTCGCTTTCATACTTGTGAGTGTCCATAGACGCTAGGAGCGATATAAGCGATTGGATGGCCATGGAAACTGATTTCTTCGGTTGGTCCATTGACATTTGAAAAGAATGCTGTTGTGTTTAATAGTAATCGTTTGAACAATGCTGCTCCTATCTACGATGACAAGGGGTCTTATTATAAGTTGTTACCCCTAGCAAAAAACGAATAATTTGAGTATATTTGATTAGTATACCTTCCCACCAAAGATCTTAAGAATGAACCTCATAATCGAATAAAGTACAGGAGCCTGAAGAGAGTTCTTCTTTCGATCCATCGTGGATTGAGCTTTCGATAGATAAATCAATGGATCGGTTTTTAAAGCAATGGATAATGGTAAAACAACTATGTTGATATGGTTTCCCCATCTGCATTCCGAATCTTTTGCCATCATATCTGCCAATGGCTTCATTCATAGTTGCCTTGTGTCACAATTAATGTAATCTTCGCAAAATTGTAAAAGAAGGTATATATATGTATATAAAACTGAATGGTTCTAACCTGGATTCCAACTTTAGACCTTAGGTTTACCAAAACACCTGCACGAACTCTTATACTACTTGGAATATTATTTAGAAGGGGTGTCAACGTTCCACCATCCACATTTACCTTGTCTGGTCAAGAATTAAGCAACAAATAAACTCAAAAAAAAAAACTAGGCATAAATCACATTGTATATATGTTAATTTATATTGCAATCCAATGTTTACCATGCGGTTTGTTTAAATAGCGGGAGAGAGCAGCTTGTGTAACTCCAATTAGAACGTCGTTAATAGTCTAGAGATGGGCACAAGAAATCAAGAAACAAGATACACATTTTTTTTGGGGTGAAAATAAAGAAATCAAAAACGAAGATATTTCTAACTTACCATGTCCATGACGTCTTTTATAAGTCTAATGTCATCCAAAGAAACGATTCGATGACAAAGTATCTTCCGATTGCTCTCGGCATCGGCACCGCCTTTTAAAGACGTCTTTGTATCCTTCAAAAACAACACCGTCGCCAAGAGTAGCAGAAGATCTACAATGGTATTCCAAATCAATCTCACTGTCGAACAAATGGCCACCATCGACCTTAAGAACCAGCTTTTGTTTTGTGACACCTTTTCACGTCGTTTTAGGATAGGAATAGTAGGACATGCTTTAGGGTCTGATGTTTTTCGGGTACATGCCATGATGAGAGACATACGAGACATTCCATCTCCCAACGAGTGGTGAGATCTTATGACAGCGACCGCTTCTGCATCAGATGTTTTGACGTTGAGGATGTGAATGTCCCACAAGGGTCTTGATCTATCAAGAGGAATCGTTGTGAGACGTGAAACGTAGTCCTCTACGAAATTTTCTCCGTAGTCACCAATCTCGTCAAGGTCTATGTGTGGTACGAATACATGATCTTCTACATTGATTTCGGTCTTGATCCATGTTGCACCATCATCAGCCTGTAAAGTTAATTAGCACGGACGAGATGCTTAAAAAGCACACTAGTTAACACATTATTTATATTAAAAAAGGGAAATACCATCGAAATGAATCGTAAAAGAGGTGAAATTATTAATTTTAACCTCATTTAAGATCTACAAAACCACATTTTTTAATCCTAATTATAATTATCAAATGATGTACGACACAGATGATGTACACTATTAGTTTAACGAAGAAATCACAATTTTTATTTGTATCGTACATTTGATGGTTATAACATAATGCAACGTCAAGCGCCCGTAAACGAAGTTGCTTCTTCTGTTTGCCTTTACAACTTTGAAAGTTTGATTAAAACACTAAAATATTTTGTTTCGTTTTTCCAAAGTAAACGCAAAAACAAATGCAAACACAAACAAAAAATGGAGGATATTCGGATCTTGGTTCTTCAATGTGAATTTATGTGTTACATGTAAAACAAAAGAAACAGAGGCGAAGCATGGAATTAACATTGCAAAACAGAACATAATCATTACCAGTTTGCTGGAGATACGAGGATGCTTGTAAACGTTTTGCTTTAAGTCATCAAGAATTACATGAGGATTAATCTTTGTTTTGAACCCGATGATGATGATGGTGCAGTAGTCGGTGCCGTACGACTGAAACATACGTGCCATCGGGCTGAGCGGCTCCTCCTCCTTCGTCATTCTCCTTTTGCTTCTTCTCCTATGCGTATCTTCAATGTTTGTTTTTGTCTCTCGTATTCCAATTTGACGCATATTGTAAATTTATAAGTGAAAGTTGCAATAAAAAGATATCATAAATTGTTATTAAAAAATGAGTTTATCTACATATGCACGTTGATATATTGGATGATAGTAATAGCCGATCTTGTGTTTTTCTCATTAAATTTAATATCTGTAGATTCCATTTAAGAGGTGTGTTTTATATATACGTGACATACACATGGATATTGTATACATGCATAGTTTGTATAATTAACTCAAAACCTAAGTTATTTAATAAGCAAATGTTTTTTTTAAAACTTAAGTTATTTAGGCCCTGTTCGTTTTTGATCTACATGATGCATTTAGATTCAACATCTACATGCAATTTTCAGATGCAAAATATTTAGATATTGTTTGTTTTTAAAATTAGATTTTATATTTGGATACAACATTTGATTGTAATATTGTTCGTTTGTATATTTGTAGAAAAAAAATATAAATGCAAAATATCTCAAATGATCAAAATGATATATTTTTTAATTTTTTTTATCTATAATCAAAATGATTTTTCTAAGATAATATAAATTAACAGTTTTTATGAAAATAAAGTTCGACGAAAATAGTTTTGACAGAAAATACAATTTTGGTAGAAAAAACTCAATTTTGTAATTTTAACGAAAAATGATATTTTTATGGGAAATATGATTTTACGATTTTGGAAAAAAATATTGTTTCACGATTGTGGCGAAAAAATGTAATTTTATGATTTTGACAGGAAAATCTAGTTTTACAGTTTTGGTAAGAAAACTCAGTTTTATAGTTTTGGCAAAAAATTTTGATTTTTACGCTTTTGACGGAAAAATTGAATATATGATTTTTATAAAAGATTATGATTTTAAAATATTTTTAAAAAGAAGAATAATAAATATAAATTTTGTTAGTTTTCTATCATATTAAAAGATATTTTAGTTTATATTAAAAAACTAAAATATTTTATGATAGAAAACTAACAAAATTTATATGCTTTTAGCTAGATTCACATGCTTTTAGCTAGATTTATATGTCATAAAGAATCACATGCTTTTAGCTAGATTCTTTTTTTTTTTTTTTGAACTTTTTTTAGCTAGATTCTTGATGAAGATAATAGGCCAGCTTGCTTCGGATACGTACACGAGCTCTCTTCTCTTTTTCGTTAAAATGTATCTTCGGTTTCTATTTTCCCACAAAACTAAATCTAACACGTATGGACTATATAACGTTTTGTTTGTTTTTTCTTTTAAATATGCAATTTAGTAGTTTATTGCCTAGCTTCTCTGAATACATTATATTTTTCTTTTCTGATACGATGATGCAATTTATAATAACTTCTTAAGGAGGTTTGAATTTTTTTGTATACTTTCTTTTCTGATATTTATCTTTATTGACTTAGCAGTTTATACTTTCTTGCTTGAAAACTCATTTTCATGACATTGTAATATGCCTCTTTCCGGTGACCAACTACAACTACATGAAAGAAACGGACGAAACCATGTCCACGTAAAGTGTTTCTTAGCCTCTAGCCAAAGTCCATAGGCCATAGGCCCTAGCCAAAGCCCATAAGCCAGAGGCTCTAGACAAAGCCTATATATAGCTCGAACCTAATCTTTATGAGAAAACGAGCTATTTCCCCACAAAAACTATTGCATAACATCATATGTGTCCCAAACTATGCCTTGGTGCTATATATCTCTGAAAAATAGTTAAAAAATTCAGATCTCCCCAAATTAAAAGTTCAAAATTAGAATCTCCGCAAAATAAAAGTTACAAACTTAAAAACCCATACAATCCGGTTTTAATTGATTGACTGGTTTGTAAACAATATTAACTAATAGTAAACCAAATAAAAACCCAATTATAACCCGATTACATCTTATTGACTAGTTATTGACCCGACCAAAAGATTAAACCGTATAATTATAAATTCCCAAATCGTGACCTTACGTCCAAAACCCAAGAAATCGCAAATCTTAGAACCTTGATTGAGAAGCTCGAAATCCATGGCGTTAGTGATGCACAATGGTGCAGGAGAGTTCGACGAAGAAGCATCTGACCGAGAACAATCTCAAATCGAGCAGCTTATCCAAGATTTCAAAAATGAGACACCGATTCTACATAATGTTTATCCAGACTCATAGTGAGGAAGAAGATGGTGAAAATGGTGAAGAAGGTGATGAAAGTGGTCGACGAGAGAGAAAGACAACCAAACCATATTCGACACTTTCTGTAAAACAATTCTCAATAACAATAAAATATGAGTTGTTTATTATCTCCCCTTTTATCTTTCAGGTTTTGATATCACGTGTTCTTGTCACATTCTAGGTATATATCAAGTTTAAACTACGAATCAGACAAAACCATGTTTTGATTCAGCCATTTTCTATCTTTAAAATTTCATGTAGATCTGGATCTTAAACTATTTTTTCGGGGATATATAGCACGAAGGCATAGTTTGGGAGACATCTGATACTATGCAATAGTTCTCGTGGAGAAATAGCTTGTTTTCCCAATCTTTACTGGTTACTCACGTCCTAGAGTAAGCCTTTTCACATAGAGAAGCTTTCATAGCTTTTAATGACTCCTCTATTTCATCTAATAGCTTGTGAGGATCCGGTATGACCGTGGGATCAACGCCTATCGAAATAACCATCTTCTTCGCGTAGCTAAGGAAGTGTATCACCAATGGCTATAAAACACAAAAACATATATTATGTGAGAAAAAAACTTCTAAAACAAACTAAACATATATGCGAAATAAGAAAGATGTATACTTGTGAGTGTCCGTAGGAGCTTGGAGCGATGTAGGCGATTGGATTGCCATGGAAACTGATTTTTTCCATAGGACCAACTATGTTTGAAATGGACGTTGTTGTGTGCAACACAGGACGATTGAACAATGCTGCTCCTACCTATAATGACAAAAGTGTCATATATTTAAATTCCTTTTAAAAAAAAAATTAGGCAACTTTGAGGTTACTGTTTATCACTTTATATACCTTAGCTCCGAGAGTTTTGAAGACGAAACCGGTGGTTAGGTACACTAGAGCACTGTGAAAAGAGTGCTTCTTTCGATCCATTGTAGATTTAGCTTTTGATAAATAAACCAATGGATCGGTTTCTAAACTAATGGACATCGGAAAAATAATGAAGCTCATGTAGTTTCCCCATCTGCATTTTGAATCCTTGGCCATCATATCTGCCAAAGCCTTCATACAAAAGCCACATATCTTGTTCGTAAAACCAACTTTCTTTTATTAAAAAAAAAAAAAACATTTATTTGAGGTGTAATTCTCTAACCTTAAACCCGATGTTATGCCTTAGATTTACTGCAACACCTGCCCGAAAACGTAGTTTACTGGGAAGATTGTTCCGGTTTGATTTAGATGTTCCATCCTCTGCATTCTTCTTGTCTTGTTTGTCAAGAAACAAAATATATACATATGAGACTTCACATATATACTATTGTAATATAATTTGGTTAGCTGAATTAGATTTAGACTATATTTATTCATTGAACTCAATTGTTTACCATATAGTCTGTTAAGATAGCCAGAAAGAGCAGCTTGTGTAACTCCTAGTAGAACATCGTTGATAGTCTACAAGAGGAAACAAACATCCCTCAAGAAAATGATACACCCACAAAAAGTTATAAATAATAATGAACAAAAATAGTAGCATACCATGTTCGTAGCGGTTTTTATAAGTTTAAGGTCATCCAAAGAGACGATTCGGTGACAAAAATTCTTTTGAACACTCACGCCGCCTTTTAAAGGTGTTTCTGTATCCTTCAAGAACAAGATTGTTGCCAAAAGCAGAAAAAAATCTGCAATGGTATTCCAGATCAATTTAGCTGCATAACAAATGGCGAGTATCGACCTAAAGAACCAGCCTTTGTTGGTAAGGCCTTGAAACACCGTTTTACGCCGTTTTGAAGAAGTAATGATTGTAGGAAATTCGTCGAGGTTTGATGTTTTTCGAGTAGATGCCAACAAGAGAGACATCAGAGATACTCCATCTCCTAGTGCATGGTGAGATCTTATAACAGTGACCGCTTCTGCATCTGATGTTTTGACGTTGAGGATGTGAATATCCCACAAAGGTCTTGATCTATCAAGAGGAATCACTGTGAGACGCGAGATATAGTCATCGACGAAGCTTTCTCCATCTTCGCCCATCTCTTCTGAGTCTATGTTTGGTGTAAATACATGGTCTTCTACATCAACATCGGTCTTGATCCATTTTGCACCATTATCTGACTGTGATGTTAACACAATTTAGACTCAACACTATATTTAATGTCAAGAATAAAATAAGGTTTCGTCTCTAATAAAAAAAATTCATAAACAAAAGAAACGTAAAAGAAGAGAACAACCAAGTTTTCTTTTTCACGAAACAGAGAACAAACAAATATTTAAGGCAATTACTATATTCACATTTATACAAACAAACACAGACCGTACGTGAGATCCGTGAGCTTGTTAATTATAAACCAATATTTTCCATCTTTTTTTTGGTTATATTGTACTTATATATATATATATATTGATATATTATGGGTAGATAATATAAATTACTTAGCAAAAAAAAAGATAATATAAATTACCAATTTGCTAGAGAAACGAGGATGCTTAGAAACGTTATGCTTCAAGTCATTTAATATGAAATCAACATTGATCTTTTCTTTGAACCCAATAGTAATAACGATGCAGTTGTCCATGCCCGGTGATTGGAACACACGTGCCATCGGGCTGAGCGGCTCCTCCTCTTCTTCCCTCTTCGGCATTGTTTGTCCCTCTCCTCTTGTTTTTGTTAGAAGTTGAATGTACGTATATATATAAAATGATGAGGCTTTACAAAATGTAGATTTTTTTAGTGTTTCTTTCATGGACAGGTAAGGACTTAAAAATCGTCATAAAGGATCACGTGCTTTATAGCTAGATGTTGATGAAGGTAATAAATCAGCTTGCTTCGGATACAGGAGCTCTCTCCTCTTTGATTCAACGTATCTTCGCCGGCGACTATTTTTCCCCATACCTAAATACTATGATAACTGACAAGTGTGGGCATAAATTTAGGTTTTTTTTTTAATGTAACTTAATAGTTTTCTAGCTTTATATATATTTTAAAAATATCTAAGGTTTGAAGTTTTTTTTGTATACTAACCTTGGACTTGGCCATAACACTTTATTGCTAGAAAAGTCATTTTCATCTAACTGTAAAATGCATGAACACCAAGATTTTGCTAAGAAAACAGAACTCTCGAGCAACAAAACATGTCCATAAGCAAATGTTTAAAGAAAAAAAAACATGTCCACGTGAAGTGTTTCGTAGCCTCTAGCCAAAGCCCATAGCTCGAACCTAATCTTAATCCAAAACTTGAAAAGTCTACTAGAAAAGTCTACTTCAATATGTTTACCATCCACTGCTTAAACCCAAATACTTCAATATGTCTACATACACCGTGAGCTTGTTAATTGTTTTAATTGCATGGGACTCAGAGCATGTCTTTATTTGTGTCTCGCTAAAATTAAAATGCCCTTTTCTCCAGAATCCTCTGAACAGAAGCTCAAAAGTAACGGTGAATCATATTCGGGTCTACGTACTTGATAAACCTAGGAGGCTCAATGGGAATAGAAAACCTTCTGCTGATCAGAGATGTGAACATTTCTGTCAAGGCAGGCTTCTTGGAAGCAGTCGGTACTTAATAGATTTACGGTCATTCATCTTGTAGAAAAATCATGTTTTTCTACAAGATGAATGACCGTAAACCGTTATAGAGAGCTACAAATCTCGGCTATATAATCCATTAGAGAAATGTCTAGTGTTTCATATATCTGCGTCAAAGTGGCTTTTAATCCATTAGATAAATTTTTTTTTGGTTTTTGTGAAAAAATGAAATTTCTTGGTTTTGGCAGAAAAACACAGGTTCTCGCGGAAAAATGAAATTTTAGGTTTTAGGTTTGATGAGAAAATGATACTAAATCCAATCCCAAATAATAAATAACAGTAAAAAAAAAATTTGTTTTATGTTTTGCCAAATCCAAACCCAAATAATAATTAACAACAAATAAAAAATTAAATCTTTGTTTTTGATGTGCAACACAATTTTATGTTTTTAATGGATAATGCAATTTTTTGGTTTTCGCACGAAAATACAATTTCACAGTTGTTTTGCGAAAAATACAATTTGACGATTTTGGGAGAAAAATATAATTTCTCAGTTTTTTTACGAAAACACGATTTCTCGGTTCGATGAGAAAACAATTTTTCTTGGCTTTGGCAGGAGTAGGAAATTTCTCTGTTTTGCCGGGAACAGGGGATTTCTTGGTTTTAGTAGGAATATGTGATTTTCAGTTTTGGTAGCAAAACATATCTTCTCGGTTATGGCGGCAAAAAGCGAATTTTCGGATTTGACGAGAAAATGTAAATTTTTGGTTTTGATGAGAAAACAAAAAAAATTGATTTTGAAGGAAAAAAATATCTTAGTTTTGACGAGAAAATGTTCGGTTTTGTTGAAAAATGCAATTTTTCAATTTTGACAAAAAATGTGATTTCTCAGTTTTAATAGGAAATACAAATTATCGGCTTTTGACGGATAATGCGATTTCCTGGTTTTCGCACGAAAATATGATTTTTTAGTTTTTGCGGAAAATTGGAATTTGATGATTTTGACGGGAAACGCAATTTCTCAGTTTGATGGGAAAACAAAATTTTCTTGATTTTGGCGGAGTAAGAAATTTCTTGGTTTAGATGGGAAATGCAAATTTTTAACTTTTGACGAATAATGTGATTTTTTTTTTTCGCAGAAAAAATGCAATTTCTTAGTTTTCACTAGAAAACACAATTTTTCGGGAGATAATGAAATTTTTGGTTTTCACGAGAAATTGTAGCTTATTTGTTTTGGTAGAAAATAAATTTTTGGTTTTGGCGGGAATAGAAGATTTTCCGGTTTTTGTAGGAAAATAAAATTTTCGATATTGATGGGAAAATTTGATTTTTTGGTTTTTGCAGGAAGATGAAATTTTTTGGTTTTGGCGAGAAAACATAGGTTCTCACGGGAAAATGAAATTTTAGATTTTAGGTTTGACGAGAAAATGATTTTTTTGCTTTTGGCGGGAATAAGCGCTTTCTCAGTTTCATGGAAAAATGAAGTTTTTTTGTTTTATAGGAAATGCGATTTCTCGTTTTTGTAAGAAGATGAAATTTCTATGTGCTAAATTTCCAAGTTAAAGTATGTTTATTGTAACCAAAATTTAATTATTTAACTTCAACTGAAACAATATTTCAATAGTTCAAACAGAATTTTCTATTTAGTTCTAAAGCAATAACATTGGTTTTAATATGAATGTTATTGATTATAGTTTGGTGGTTTTAGAAACATATGTTTATAATAAAAATTTGATAAATAAATAAATTTTATAATTCATGATAATCATATTAATTAATAAATATTTTTTTTCTAAAATGACATTTTAGTTTATAAAATTACAAAGGAGAATCAATGGACAATTAATTGGAAAAATAGTTTAAATTTTCCATTAGTATGAAAGTACTAAAAAATATATTATTTTATTATTACATATACATATATAATTAGTTAGCTAAACAAATTTAATAACAAGTTATAATTTTAAAAAATAAAAATTATGGATATACAATGTTTATTCAAATTAAAAACACATAAATACATAACTTAAGCTAATAATAAAAAATATAATATTCATTTACATTATAAAAATAATTTTTTATATTAAAAATATATTCAAAATTTAGAAAAATATTCTACAGCGCATCGCGGATAAATACCTAGTATAATATAATAAAATAATGTGTCGTTTTCTTTTTTTTTCTTTTTTATCTTTTGAGCACTATTCTCTTTTATTATGGGTCTCATCGGTGTGCATTAGAAGAATTAAGAGAAATTGAAAAGAAAAGAAAAGTTATAAATTATAAGAAATTATTTTATTTGTTTTGAATGTGTGCTTTTGGATAGAATAATTTTTTCAACTTGGTTTGAGTGGAAGAAAATTTTCCATAACTTTCTATTGATTTCAGAAGCTAATTTTTTCTTATGTTTTTTTTTCTTTTCTCTGTTATTGGTTTACTTTTTGAAATTAGTGGAAGAAATATTTTATTAACTTTTTCTTTTCTTCTATAGACTACAACCAGTCAGACCCTATTTCTCTTACTTCACATTATTCAAGGAGATTTTTAAACTTTTAAGAGCTGACTGTGACATTGTTCCATCGCAAAAATATATTTATTTCTTTATGTTTTCTTTCTATAACATAATAAGATCAAGTGTCATTTTTTTTTCTTCTCAGCCCTATTTTCTTTTATTATGCTCGTACTTTACATTATTCAAAGAGATTTTCTAAACTTTTAAAAGTTGACTGTGACATTATTTTATAAACAACCCTAATATGCTGTCATGTGTCATTTTTTTTTCTATTTCTATTGTATTCACTTTCATCAAACAAATACAAAACAATGTCTCGGTTTTTTCTTCTTCTCCACTAGATTCTCTTTATTATATCTTCTATTTCATATTATTTAGATTTTTTTTTTAATCTTTAAGAGCTGACTATGTCATTGTTTCTGTCTGGAAGTATAGATTCATTTTTTCATGTTCTCTTTGTGGCAATCAAAAAGAAAATCAAGCATTATTTGCTTTCATAAAATCTTTTTACATTAGGGCCTCACTACTTACTTTTCTACTGCATCCAACCTCAAACCGCTATTACTATCACAATATAAATTCTATTCTCGAGAACTTTCTTTTCGGTCATCCCCTATGATAGCATCACTTCTCTAACATGTTCAAACCAAACATTATTATTTCACCAATATTTTCATACAAAATTTAAAGAGTATATACAACTTAAAAACTACTATTTACGGAGAAAATTTACTAAAAAATATAATAAAATTGATTATAAAATTAAAATAGTCAAAATATCACAAATCCGCGCAACGCGTGGACCTTCTCCTAGTATTCTAATAAAGTAAGATTTTTTTTCAGAAAAACTCTTATATGCTGCCACATAGCATCTAAGAAACTGGCATGTGACACTTTTTGTACTATTTAAATATAATTCTTTTTCATCAAACAAACACAAAATTAGCTCTTCCTCATCTCCAAATGATTTTCTTTCATCTAACAAATATAAACGAAAATCAAAGCATTCAAATAAATCATATATAATATAGTAAGATCATATGTCCCTTTTTATATCTCTATTATATTCTCTTTCATGAAACAAACATACAAACAACCCTTATGTTTATTTTTCTTCTCGACACGATTTTCTTTTATTAAGACTCTTACTTCACAGTATTTAAATTTTTTTTTTATAAATTTTAAGAGCTAACTATGATATTTTTTTGCGTGGCAAATAGATTTATTTTTTTTATATTTTCTTTGTCGCCAATCGAAATTGACATGTGTCATTTTTTCTCAGTTTTTTTTTACTATTTCTAATGAATTCTCTTTCATTAAACAAACACAAAAATAAAGTTTTAGTTTTTTTTTCTCTTAGACAATTGATTATTTTTCATTCAAAAAATAATATAGTAAGATTATGTGTCAATTTTTCTCTCTTTTCTTCTCTCATCACTATTTTCTTTCATTATGTCTCTTACTTGACATAATTTAAATCGCTAGATTCTCTTTCATCAAATTTATACTAAATGAAAGCAATTGTTTGGAGTTCCAGATGCCATCTACACTGCCACTTCAACAACTAAATGAAAGGAAGAGTTTGAAGGCTGTTTAAGCTCCATCTCAGTTTTGTAAGTTACTCTTTATTTTTGCCAGCAAAAACACAATAATAAAAAAACTCAATTAATTTTTTTAAATACACATAAATAAA